ACTGGCAAGTGCTAAGCAGCACTGAGACACACTTGCACCCTGACAGGCTCCTTATGCAGCAGGAAGAGCACACATGGGATTCTCCCCTGTGCTGCCTCCATGCAGAGCCCCATGGCAGGCAATGATCCGTGCCCCCACTCCAAGGATACGCACTAACTTCATATTCGTGTTGGCTGGAGCGTTGCACTCTGGGCAGTTGGTGTTGAACTGCAGGACCTGGGGAGCAGGAGCATCAGAGAGGCCCATCCAGCCCAAAGCCACCACCCCCACTGGCATGGGCACCACTGCAGTCACCCACCTCATTCCTCAGATCCTCTGCAGCATCATCTGGCTTCTCATCCAACTCCTCTCCCTGCAGCAGGGGACAGGAGCAGTGTTAACTCCTGTTCCTTAACTCAGGGCCTCCCAGAGACAAGGGGGGTGATGGCACAGCTTAAGCAGCTCCCGTTACCTCCAGCCCCAGCATGGCAGCCTGCTGGGGACTCCTCCTGTAGTGAGTGACTACTAGAGCATCGTCCTTCTGTGGCGCACGAGGGTTCTCCACAAAGCTGTTCCCTGAAGGGTCATCGATGATCTATGGGACAACAAAGCTTTAGGAACCCATCCTGTGCTTCCCCTGGGGGGAAAGGGGCTGAACCCCCAGGTACTCACAAAGGTGAAGGGGGAATGCACTTCTTTCAGCTGCTTTAGCTTCCCAATGAACTCATCTATTTTACTGGCCACCTCTTGGTCCGTTGCCTGCAAAGGAGGAGAGGTCTGAGACCAGTGCTGGGGCAGGCAGAGCTGCAGACACCAGCACAAAGCAGAGCACCCAGAACACTCCTCTACCAGCAGCGTGCAATGCAGAAGGTGAGCACGAGCACAGCCGAGGAGCCTCCCCTTCCACCACGTACCCTGCGGACAGGCTGGTCCTGCTCCAGGCCGGCCACAGCTCTGTCAATGAGCCCTTCAATAGTGGTAAGGACTTGAGAAGGAAAGAGAACACAAGCGAGGCACTGTTAAACACACCACAGAGTGCCACACGTAGGCCCCACTAAGCCTATGTGACCCGATGGACCCAGGGCAGGCCCTTCCCCACACAGCCCCCCTACCCACCTCCCTTCTGGGAGAAAGCAGGGATCTCAAAGTCCAGCTCTGGAATCCGAGCCGTGGCACAGTCAGTCTTCACCACCTCCCTGTTCATGTCCTGCACACGACAACAGTTGAGGAGCAGCGTTAGGATCCTGACAGGACCACGACTGCCGGACCACACTGGGCTACACAGCACCTATGTTAGCCCCAGGCTTCAGCAGCCTCGATTCACCCAGGAACACACCGGGAACGTGCCCGTTGGGGCATGCAAACGCTCACTGCCCAAGAAAGGACGTTAATGCTCCAAGGGTGCAGAAGGGGAACGCTTTATTGAGGTGCGGGGGGTGCACGGTGCTGACCTGCCGGGAGGCGACGGTGAGGACGTAGCGCACGCCCTGCTCCTGGATGCGCCCCGCGGACTGGATCTCGCTGTTGGACCAGGAGCAGCTCCCGCAGGTGAAGGAGCTGACGATGACCTCTTTGAAGAACGGGATCCTGGTGAGCAGGAGCCGCGTCACCCCCTGCGGCACGACGGGGCTGCTGGGAACCCGGCTCCTGCCGACACCGCCCAACACCCAACCCCTACAGCGGGGGGGGGCCCTGAGCCCCGCTCTGCCTCCTGCAGCCCCCCCTGCACCCCGCTTCCTGCACCATCCTCCCACACCCCCCTTCCTGCACCCCCCTGCACCCCTCTCTCGCACCCCCCTTCCCGCACTCCCCCTTGCACCCCCCTTCCTGCACCCCCCTCCCGCACCCCCCCTTCCCGCACTCCCCCTGCACCCCTCTTCCTGCACCCCCGCCCCTCACCCCCCCTGCACCCCCCTTCCTGCAGCCCCCTCCCGCACCCCCCCTGCACCCCCCCCTGCACCCCCCTCCCGCACCCCCCTTCCCGCACCCCCCTTCCTGCACTCCCCTCTGCACTCCCCCTGCACCCCCCTTCCTGCAGCCCCCTCCCGCACCCCCCCTGCACTCCCCTCCCGCACCCCCGTTCCTGCCTCCCGCTCCCTCTCCCGCTCCCGTGCCCCGCTGTGCGGCCCCGCTCAGGCCGCAGTGCCCGGTGCGGCCCCGCTCACGCTGCAGAAGCAGTTCATGCACAGGGACTCGATCTCCGCCGGCCGCTGCTCCCCGTCCTCGGCGCTCAGCGGCCGGAACAGGGGCCCCGCGCCCGCCGCCTCCACCGCGCCCAGCGCCGACATGCTGCCCCGCCGTCACGTGGGGCGGCGCGCGGTCACGTGAGGAAGCGGCACGGTCCAACATGGCGGCGCCTTTATTGGTGCTCATGCTGCCGCGGTCCCGTTGCCCGCCCCGATCCCGACCCCGCTCCTGGTCTCGGTCCCGACCCCGGCCTCGCCGCCGCCTCCCCGCTCCCCCAGGCTGCGGGACAAGTCCCTCCACAGCGCATCGAGGCGGGCGTGCAGGTCCTCCACGGGCGGCGGGTCCCCCTCCAGGTCCCCCGGGACCCGCGTTGACAGCTTCAGCCGCATCTCCTCCGTCTCCTGGTCCAGGGCGCGGGTGAAGTCCTGGATCTGGATGTACGTGTCCCGCCGGAACTCGTCCACCCGGCGCTGCACCTCCCGCGCCAGCGCCTCGCTGTAGCGCTCGGGGCTGGGCGGCCGCTCCCGCAGGCTGCCGGGGTAAAGGCTCAGCTTGGCCTTGAGCTGCTCCAGGTTCCTCTGGATCTTGTGGTGCAGGTCCCTGGCGCTCTGGGTCAGCTTGGAGGACAGCTCCTGGATGTACTGGTTGAGCTGCTCCGGGCTGGCCTGGCTGTGCGGGACCACGTTGCGGTGCAGCTCCTCCACGTTGCGATGGATCTCGGTCACCAGCCTGTCCGCGTACGGGTGGAAGATGCCCTTCACCTGCTCCGTGTGGAGCGCGATCTTGTCGCCGTAGTGCGCCAGGAAGCGCTGCACCTCGTCCGCTCCCCCCAGGAGCTGAGCCGTCACCTCCCGGCTCGGCATCAGGTGGCGCCGCAGCTCCCGGGCCTTCAGGGACACTTGGTCCAGCAGCTCCTCCGTGAAGGGCTGCAGCCGGTAGCGGAGCTCTTCCAGGTGCCTGCCCACCTTGTGGTGCACCTCGTCCACGTACGGCGACAGCTTCACCCGCAGGCTCTCCAGCTCCTTCCGGATGAGCTTTCTCAGGCTCTCCGAGTCCTGCGACAGCCGCGGCTGCAGCCCTCGGTTGAGCGGCGCCAGCTTCTCCAGGAAGTTCCCCATGTAGCTCCCCCCGTCCTGGGCGCTTCCCTTCGGGCTCCTGCATGAGAGCAGCCGCTGTGGGCACCCCTCGCTGTGCCCTAACACACACACGCACACACAATAAAGCTGCTGGCAGCCTCCATGAGCGCTTGCGTCCCCAGCGTGCTGGGGGCTTGCAGGGGTTACCCGCTGTACTCACGCCATGCCCCTGCCCAGCTTGCTGCCCTGGCCGTGCTCGGGGCTGTCCTTGTCACTCGTCAGCTGGCTCAGGTACTCCCAAAAGCTGCTCCTTGCTGGCTCGGCCGGTGCCACTGCGGGCAGGGGGGCAGTGTTAGCGTGGCAGCACCCAGCCTCTGCCCCGTCCCATTGCCCCCGGTCATCCCTGAGCGAGCTCCTCCGCTCTGCACCTACCTGGGATGGTGGCCAGGAGGGTGAGGAGCAGCGCAGCCTCCGGAGGCATGGTGTGCTGCGGGAGGAAGGAGAGAGGAGCACATGAGCGCAGGGCTCCCCGAGCACTCGTGGGTCAGTGCTCCCTGTGCTTCGTGCCCCATTCACTGTGCCCCACAAGGACCTCTCCCCCGGGGTCCCCCATAGCGCCGCCAGCACAGGATGGCACCCACACAAGTGACACGGGCAGGAGGTGCCCCTCACCCGGCTCCCGGTGCCTCCCGTGTCCCTGCGGCGCCGCCGGCCCGCGGCTCCCTTTATACACGTGCAGGGGAAGGTCTTTTGGACCTCACTCGGGTAAACACAACGTGGAGGCTGCGGGCTCACGTGGGGGTCACCTGAGCGCCGTGCTCCGGCCTCATCCTGCCCCTGCCCTTTGCAGCCTGAGGCAGAGCTGCAGCACCATAGGGGACACCTATGGCTGCAGGTCTAATGGAGCCCGCGGCGCTGAGATGGGGCAGGAGGATCGGTGACAGGGAAGGGTGAAACGAGCACGGCGCCCACCGTGGGGCTCCCTGTTTGCCATCGAGCATCCCTGCTTCCCGCTGGGATACCAAACCCGCCCCGTTTTGGTGTGGTTCCCTGCTCGTCGCCTTTCCCCCAGGAAAAAGCAGCCACGTTTTCAGCCCGGGTCACGGCCCCGTGCGGGGAGCTGGGTGCTGACACCAGGCTCTTAAAGCAGGAGGGTGCTGCAGTGTTTGCAGCCAAGCAGCCCAGCAACCAGGGGCAGGTTTTCGCCATGGGTCAGGGTGCAGGGCTGGGGCACGGGGCAAAGTCCAGCACGGTGCTGGGGTGAAGCTCCGAGCAGTCACCGATGCTCCTTGGCACCAAAGTCCACCCTGATCCTTCCCTGTGTGGACACACGGGGTCACCCCGGCAGCCCTGGGAGCATTCCCAACCCAGGGCTCTGCTGCTCCCTACCCATCTGCATAGGGCCACAGTCCCTGCAGGCTGTGGGGATGCTGTGTCCATCAACCACCCAGTGCAGTCTGCATGGCCCAGGACCCCACGGCAGCAGCAGGCCCCACTGAGCGGGGTGCTTGACTGTATGTGGGATGCTGCCGGTTGTGCTGGGGCACCCCTGAGTGGTGAGGTCCCGGTCCCTGACCCCTTCCTGGTTGATGGTGCCTGCATCCACCCCCATCCCCACGCTGTGATGAGATCCCCACCCGCCTGGACCCATTCCGTTCCCTTCCCGCTGCCCTGGGCCCCAGCTTGGGGGTGATGCTGTCCCCTGGATCAGCTGCCCTGGGTTGCCCATCCTGGGTCAGGACACGACACGGAGCAGGCTGTGCATCACACACACGGGTTTATTCGTGCCACGAGGAGCCGGCCCCGCACCGGGCGCCATCGGGGGCTCAGTCCGCAGCGGGCTGCGCGGTGCTGAGGAAGGCGGCCACCTTGTCCCGCACCTCCTTCTCCAGCAGCTCCATGTGGTCCTCGACGCCGGCAGCGCCCGACTCCAGCTTGCCCCGCATGGCCTCCACGCGCTGCACCAGCTCCTGCCCCAGCGCCTCCCCGAAGGTGGCTGCCCGCTGCCGGAACGCCTCCAGCGTCTGCCCCACGCGCTCATCCAGCTCCTGCGCCAGCGGTGCCAGGCGCTCCCGCAGGCCCTGGGCATCGCCGCCGGCCGCCCGCTGCAGCTCCTGCGCCAGCGGCGAGAGCTGAGCCCGCAGCTCCTCCGAGCTGGCCTCCAGGCGCGCACGCAGCTCCTCGGCCGCGCGCTCCATCTGCGCCGTCAGCGCCTCGAGCTGCCGGTTGAGCCCATCCTGCACCTCCTGCGCGTAGGGGCTGAGCCCCCGCCGCAGCTCCGCCACGCTCCTGCCCGCCTGCGCCTTCAGCTCCTCGGCCAAGGGCGCCAGGCGCTCCTTGAGGCTCTCCACGCCGCCGTCGATCTGCTGCTGCAGCCGCTCCGCGTAGGGGCTGAGCGAGGCCTGGATGTCCTCAGTGCTGCCCTGCAGCCGGGCCCGCAGCTCGGCCGCCAAGGGCTCCAGCGCCCGCCGTAGGTCCCCGGCGCCGCGGTCCACCTGCGAGCGCAGCTCCTCGGCGTAGGGGCTCATCCTGGCCTGGAGCTGGCGGATGTTGGTGCCGATCTGCTGGTGCACCTCGTCGGCGTAGGGCGCCAGCTTGGCCTGCAGCTCGGCCAGCTCCCGGCGGATCTGCTCCTTGAGGCGCTGCGAGTCCTGCGCCAGCCGCGCCTGCAGCTCCGTGGCGAACGGCACCAGGCGCCGCTGCAGGTCCTCGGCGTACGAGTTCACGCTCTGCAGGTTGCTCTCCAGCAGGGTGCTGGGGACAAGCGGGTGTCAGAGCCCCCCTGTGCCCATAGACCCCTGCCCGGCCCCCCCGGCATCCCCCCGGCACCACAGCCCTGCTCACTTGAGCTGCTTGGTGATCTCAGCTTGCTGCAGCTGCTCCACCGTGTCCTTGGCGTTGCTGCCCAGCTCCGTGAAGTACTTCCAGAGCACGCTGGCCACCTCGTCCGGGTTGACATCAGCCCGGGCTCCTGCATCCAGAGGCTGGGATCAATCCCATTCCCGTGGCACTGCGCATCCCTATCCGTGCCCCAGGGCAGGACAGCGTCCCGGCATCCCAAACCCCCACACTGCCTCACCTGACACCACCAGGAGCACCAGGACGAGGGCGGCCGCCTTGGGAGACATCCTGAGTGCTGGGGATGCCTGCAGGGACACAGAGCAGGGATGAAGGGAGCCCCATGGCGGCAGCCCCAGCCTCTGCTGCCTGCCCCACTGCAGGCAATGCAGGCACCACTGTCCCCAGCCACTCACCTGCTCTGCCACCACTGCGGTCCTGCGGTGCTGTGCTGCTGTGCCGGGGAGCACCGGCCCTATTTATGCAGCCTGAGCGCCCTCGGTGGCTTCCACGCAGGGCTGGGACACAGCCTCAGGCTTGGACTTTAGCAAGGTCGCAACGTGGAGGCGCCTGATGTGTGCACAGCCCTGACATCAGCCACAGCCCTGACATCAGCCACAGCTCTGACAGCTCCCAGGGGGGTGCCAGGGACAAGGGCAGCGAGAGATGGGGGTACATGCACATGGGCACCCCAGGTCAGGGACTCAAGAGGAGCCCCCAGCTCCATAGGATGCAGTGATGGACCTGCTGGTGCCGGCTTTGTGGTACCCAGGATGCTCAATGGGAAAGGGCATGGGCTGAGGGGATGCTGTGGCGGATGCATGGAGGCACATGAACAGATAGCATCCCTCCCTCTGAGCACAGGCTCCTGGAGGAATTCCATAAGGAATGGCAGGACCCAGCTGCTGCGGGATGCTGCGGATGCGGGTGTGCCCTTGACCAGCCTGGGACCCGCGTCCCTGGCCATGAGCATCGGGCTCTGTGGTGTCCCCGCTCCGTGCTGCAGCCAGTGCTGATGTGTCAGAGCTGGGGCGAAGGGCAGGGCTGGCAGGGGCAGAGACCAGCCGGGAGCGGTGGTGCCAAGGTCCAAAGAGCCCCCGCGGTGCCCCAGGGCTGGAGCAGCCCCACGGGGCCGGGGCCACTGGATGTCACCCTCGTGCTGTGCCCACAGCCCCAGGCCTGAGCACACACATGCACACACACGCACCCGATGTGCAGACACACGCAGAGCCCCGTGCCTTGTTCCCTAGGGAATTTCCCAGCTCCCGGCCGGAGGCAGCCCCTCCGTTCCGGACCTGGCACCGCTCGGTCCCTGCACCGCGGCCCCTTCCCGGCCAGCCCCTGACCTTTGCACAAGCCCCGGAGCCGGCGGTGGGAGGGTATAAAGTGGGACCGGGGCTGCCCCAGTCCCAGAGACCGGCTCAGGTGAGTGGGGAAGCCCGGGTGAGGGTCCCGGTGGGAAGGGGACGGGGTTGGGACCCCCGTGGGGCCGCCCCACACCGTGTGCTCTGCTCTCTCCACAGCCATGAGGGTGTCCGTGCTGCTCCTGCTCGCCTGCACGGCTGTCCTGGCAGCACAAGCAAGTAAGGGGGCTGGGGCCGGGCTCAGGGTGTATAGATGCCCGTATATATAGTGCCTATAGACGGCCTATGGCCACATCCCATCATACTTGTGCTTGCAGGGGCCGATGAGCCCGGGGAGCCCGAGGCGCTGGTGCGGAAGGTGCAGGAGTACGCGCAGAAAGCATCGGCCATGGCCAAGAGCGCGCTGAGCAGGGTGCAGGAGTTGGAGGTGGCTCAGCAGGCCAGGTACCCCCGTGCCGCCCCGGTGCCATGGGGACCACCGGGAGCCGGTGCTGACCCCGTCCCTTGTCCCTGCAGGCGGTGGCTCTCGGACAACGCGGAGCTGGCGAAGCAGCGGCTGGCGCGGTTCAAGGAGCAGCTGGTGCAGCTCTGGAAGGGGACATCGGCCGCGTAGCGCCGGGGGGGGGGAAGGGGGACGGGATGGGAACCCCCCAGATCCCCTCCCGCTGTCACGGTGCTGGCAATAAAGAGGGCTGAAACAAGCGGCTGTGGTGGTGTCGTTGGGGGTGAGGAGGGGCGGGATGGATGCGCTGCTCCCCCCTGCTGCGGACAAGTACCCAGGCACACGGGGGGGTGTGACCCAGCTCCTGGCTCTGAGTGGGGCACCTCAGTGGTAGGGGGAAGCCAGGGCGCCCACAGTGCAGCTCCCAGTGCTCCCCACTCCCTCCCCGCCCGAGCCCCCCTCCAGCATCCACTGCAAAGACTGAGCGAGCTCCAATAACTTAAGTCACGTTTATTCGACAAAAGGAAGCAAAGCTGAGACCGACACCGGTTCGGGGAGGGGGGAGGCAGCGGGAGGGCAAAGAGGGGTCCCAGGGCTCCCGCACCGGGCAGGGCAGGGAGCGGGCAGGGTCAGTCCTGGCCAGCGGCTCAGGCCACGCTCTTCTGGAGGTCATCCAGGAGGGTGATGAAGCGAGCCTTGAGGTTCTCGGCGTAGGGGGTGAGGCGCTCCTTGAAGTCCTGCAGCAGCGGCGTCACCTTCTCGCGCAGGTTGCCCAGCTGCTCCACCACCTTGGCCTGGTACTCGGCGGCCTGGGGGATGCCCTTCTCCCGGATCTCCTCCAGCTTCTGGCTCAGCTTCTGCCGCAGCTCGTCGCTGTAGGGAGCCAGGTTCTTGCGCAGCTCCTCCACGTGCCCGCGCAGGCGGTCCCGCGCCTCCTCGGCCACCGGGGTCAGCTTCTCCTGCATCAGCTCCACCTTCTGCTTGGTGAGCTCCTTCAGCTCCTGCGCCACGGGCGCCAGGCGCTGCCGGTACTGCTCCAGCTCCTCCGTCCACTTGGCAGAGAACTGGTCCAGGAAGGGACGGATCTTCTCCTTCACCTCCTCCAGGTCCTTGGTCAGCTCCTGGCGCAGAGCCTCCGTGTCCTTCAGCCACATCTCGCGCACCTCCTTGTAGTAGGGGGCCATGTCCTCCCGCAGCTTGGCGGCGGCTGCGCCCAGCGTGTCCAGGTTATCGGCCAGCTTCAGGCTATGGGGAGGGAGCGGGGGGAGGTCACACACGGCACCCGGGGACCCCGCATCACCCCCGCCGGTCCGGCCCCACTTACTCCAGCTGCTTGCCCACGGCCGAGGACTCGAACTGGGAGATGGCATCCTTGCCGCTGGCCTTCACGGTCTCCAGGTACACCTCCACCATGTCCTTGAGGCGGTCCAGGGGCGCCTGGGGCTCGTCATGCTGCCAGAAGGAGCGGGCCTGGGTGCCTGCGGGGGGAGCACGGTGTGAGCGGGACCCAGTGCGTGCAGGGACGGCTCCAGCCCTGCCCGGCTCGGTGGGAACCGGGAGCCACTCGGCTGCGGCCAATTGCTTCCAGCATCAGGCTCCGCGGCCCCATCGCACTGTGTCCCGCAGGGACTGGAGCTGCTCCCCCCCCCCCAGCCGCAGCCCGGTGAGGACCTACCCGTCAGGCAGAGCAGGGCGAGGGCCACCACCACGGCTCTCATCTTGGCGCTGAACCTGGGGGCAGAGCAACAGAGTCGGGTTCAGGGACCGCCCGGCAGAGCCGAGCCCCCATCCCGGCACCGCGGCATTCCCGTGGGGGGCTGCGACGGGCACCGCCGCTGCATCCCCGCTGCGCCACCGCATCCGGGAGCAACCGGAGCCGCTGGAGCAGCCCAGGCTCTTACCGGCTCCGTCCCGCCGCTGCTCGTCCCGTCTGAGCCGCGCTGCCCCACGGCCGCTATTTATGCCGGAGGGGCCGTTCCCGGGGGAGATAAGCGGCGGAGCAGCCCAAGAAACCGCTCCCCGCGCGGCCCATGTGGCGCGGAGAGTTCAAGGATCGCGCCGAGGAGCGCGCTTGGCAGCGCCGCGAGCAAACAGGAGCTCCCCGGCCCGGCCAAGGAGCTGTTTACGCTCCCGCTGACCCAGATTCCTGCCTGGCTGCGGCCGGGGCCGCCCGGCAGCCCGCGGGGATTGGCCCCGCGCCCGGGGACAAGGTCTGCGCCCGCGGCGGTTTGGCCGCTCGGACCCAGACCCTCGTCCTCTGCGGGGGGACCCAGGCGCCCCCGTCCCGATGGGTCCCCAGGGCTGAGGTGCTGGGAGCTGGCCCAAAGGCATCCACATGAACCGGGCCCGGGTGAGAGGGCACAAGGGGCGCAGCGGCAGAACAGGTTGGGTAATGCCAGGGCACAGCCCCGAGCCTGGGCTGGCTCACTGGGCACTGCACCCTCCGTCCATCCGCCGCCACAGCTCCGTTCTTCCCTCACCTCCATCCTCATGTGCCCACCCCAGAGCTGCCCCGCTCCTGGATGTGCTCAGCACCACGGGTTTGATCTGCAACACCGCATTCCCTGCACAGGGAGGGATGCAGACAGCGCGGGTTCCATGCTGCATCCCGAGGGATAGAGCAGGGCAGGAAGGGGAGGAACACGGCGATCCCGGCTTGCAGCAGGTAGAAAGGGCTGTGCAGGGGGGGGCGAGGGCCCTGCACACAGTGCCTGTGGCAAGGAGGATTGCTGCACCTTGAGCTTTCACCCACGCGGCCGCATTGAGCAACCAGAGAGGAGACGAGGGCAGATCATCATCATGGTTTTATTTGTCATGATCCCACTGTCCAACTAAGTGACGAGTTGCAAGTGACCCACAGAAGAAATGGACCGAAGAGTTACTGAAACTTGGGTTTGGTTTAGTCCAACAGAAACGAGGGAGGGAGGAAGGCAAAAAAATACTTCTGACATTTCCAAAACCCAGGAAGGAGAGCAAAGGGCATTAATATACATTCAACACATACTGCGCGGGGTGGGTGCTACAATACAAAGCCATGGTAGGATGGGTGATGCTGCGGGATGGCAAGTGGAGGGGGGCCCGGCAGGCGCGGGGCAGCCGAGGGGCTCTCCCCCTGCCCCCAGCACCATGTAAACAGAGGAAACCAAACCAAAGGTAGGAGCAGAAGGCGTTCGGCGCTTCCCCTGTCCCCGGGATCGCTCCTGGCCGGGGGGAGGCCGGGCCGAGGCACGGTGAGGATGGGAGGGCAGCGATGCCGCTGTGCCGGGCTGGTCCCGCGCTTCCTTCTGTGCAGAGGTGTGTGTGTGTGGGGGGGGTTGGTGGTGATTTTGCTCTTATAAAAGATTCCAGAAAAGTGTCATTAAGGAGAAGCGGAGCCGCGGATTCCCGAGGGAACGGCGCCCAGCCCGCACGGGAACGGGGGAAGCGGGACAAGGGGAGACCGACGCGCGCCTGAACTGCAGCAAGGAAATACCACTGTGGCCACTGGCACGAGCGAGGGAAAACCAGTCACAAGTACAATGTCATCGGGGGAAATAAAATACTTTGAACAAAAGGTGCAAGTCACAATCGATACAGAACAGAATCTAGGTTAAAAATTCCTCTCAAACGGAAATTCCTTTTGCCTTTTTATTAATAACAATAATAATAAAACAACATTTACCAAAAAAACAATTCCTACGTGGTCGGGAGGAGGAGCCGAGGAGACGAAGGAAAATCCGTCTTCCCTACGGAAAAGCCAGGAGAAAGAAAAACCCCAAGTGGGATGCAGGTTGGAAAAGAAAAGGACGGGGCCGGGGCCAGGAGGAGCTGATCCTTCAGCACACGGACAGACAGACAGACGGATGGACGGTCGGACGGAGAGGAGGAACCAAAGCAGACCGAGATGAGACAAGAAGCGTATTGCACCAGGGGTGGGTGCTCCCGGCCGGAGCCGTGGGATCTGCTGCGGGGCCAGCGCCGTCCTCGTCCTCACCAGAGCACAGGGATGAAGAGCAGGAGGATGGCACGGGATGAGGGATCCGGGATCCGACCGGCTCCGCACCCGCCTGCTCCCTGGGTGGCGAAACCCCTCCCGAGCAGCCCCAGTGCTCGGGCTCCATGGGGAGCTCTGGCTGTTTCGGTGGGAGTTCCAGGCAAACATGGCAAAGGAAGTAAAGAAACCAAAGGGCGGGCAGGCTGGCGGCGCGGAGTATGAGGAGAGGGGCCATGGTATTCCAGTTAGTCAGAAATACTACGGCAATTTGGCGCAATGCTGCTAGATACTGTTGGTTTAAAATGGACCTTTTCGTTTCAAAGCTGTACAGAAAACCTGCAAGAGAGGAGAAGCAGAGGTGTTAGGAGACACCAGAGGAAGGCAGCGTTGCTTCCACAGCCCCAACCCCATTCCCAGTCCCAAACCACAAGCTACACCCTGGGAGGGAGGCACAGGGCTCTGACAGAGCAGCCAAGGCCTCATAGGAGCCTGCTGATGAGCAGGGGACCACAGCCATGGGAGCTTGGAGCTGCCGGTCTCTTCCCAGCCTCACACCAGCCCTGGAGCAAGGCAACAGGGAATGGGACACATGGTAGTGGGAACAATAGGGCTCTGACCCTACATTGGGCAGAGGAGGACACTTGAATACTCACTCCCTCCTGGTTACACCCCTGCCTGCTCCATCCCAAAGGGCACCTCCGGGTGCTTGTAGCTCAGTAGGACGTCTGTAATACATGTCGATGGGTAACAGGAGGTGTTTAGATGCTGGTTGCCATCACCTAGGTTGGGATGCTCTTGACCTTCCAAACTCTCCCCACATTCTGTAGGGCAAAGAACAGCGTTGGAGTCTGCGCAGGAGGTGCCCAAGCCCTCCCCCTGCTCCCTGCAGGCACTGCTCACTTGGAGGAGAGGTGCTCTGCACCCCATATTGCGAGCTGGTGCGCTCAGCTCCTGGCCCAGACCCCCCCATCACACCCCTGCAGCTCGGCAGGTCCTTACCATCGCTGTCCCTGTCACGCAGCTGCTGGCTGGCCATCAGCGACGACTGGCTGAGGACAGCGTCCGACATCCGAGCAGAGCTTAGTGCTTTCCCTGCCATTAAACTCATTCCAGGCAAGTTATCCAACTGCACCTGCAGAGAGAGCAGCACACGAGTCAAAGGGGGATCAGGACAAAGCATCCCTCTGCTGCCCCAGCTCTCTGGGAAGCCTTTGGCACAGGATTCTAAGTGAAAAGCATGCACCATAAGGCATAGCTTAGGTGCAGCCATTGTCCCCTCAACACAAGAGTGGACTGGACAGGCCGAGTCCCTTCCAGACCCACACTGAAACAACTAGGCCAGAGCCCCTCTCACGCAGAGCAGAAGGGAGCTGCGGCAGAGAACACATCCAGCTTTGGACAGGACAGTTCCCAGCAGCCCAAAACACAGGCTGCTTCACCAGAGCACATGGGGGAAAAAGAGCTGCCACACTGCAGCAGCCACCCTGGAGCAACCCTTGAGCAGAGGAGGAGCATTCCACAGGGATCTCTGCTAAAGTGTGTTCACTAACTCAAGTGTTTCATGGGGCTTTTCCATTGCCAGCACCCCACAGAGCCGGGCGCTGCCTGTCCTTCAGGACACCCGGTACATAACCCCCACAGGAAGGAAGCTCCGTGCTGCTTCAAACCTACGTAGGCATCATCACTGTTCTGGATGGTGTGATGTCTCTGCAGGGTCCGGGGCCGCGGGTGCTCGCTGGAGGCGGGTCGCACGGGGTAGCCCAGCCCGTTGTGGTCAGGCACCTGCATGGCTTGGCCGGGGGAGCTCCTGTCCATACAGTTCCCTACGATGGACTCTTCAAAGTCAGGCAAGACAGAGAAAGGCCAGGTTAGTACGAGGAACCTGCAGCTCTCACTGCAAACTACAGGTCTGAGATGCAACGCCATGAAGAGTCAGTGGCAGAAAGGGCCCCCCGTTGCTCTCACGCAGTGATGCAGCACCAGGCCCCCGCCAGTGGCACTTGGACAGGCTACTCCTCCCGGCACTGAGATCCCAAAGACCCCAGTGCTATCTGCCTCCCATCGGGTCTACAAAAGCAGCCTAAAATCAGAGGGGTAGAGGCACCAGAGGACAGGAGCCAGACCTTTTCAGCCTGCTTTCGAGCCCTTCTGCCTTCCCCTCCACCTCCTCCAGGCCTTGCCCCCTTCATTGCACAATGAGGAGGGAGAAGCATCTCCCCAGCCTCCACACGGGACGTTCCAGCAGCACAGCCTTGCTGGAAGAGCTGGCCAGGATGTTCCCTTTTATCAGATGACTTCTCCCTGCCCTCCCACAATCTGGCCGCAGGAGTACATGAGTGATCTGCCTGGCAAAGTCCATCTGCACTGCAAGCTCTCATGACCGAGGGTAAAGGCTACATTGCTATCAAGCAAAACCTCCCACCATCGAGTACACGATGTTTTGAATAAAGTCCTGAGGTAGGGAGCAGCCCTCATTGGGTCTGATGCTTGTAAACAGCTCTGAGCAGCCCTGTGGAGCACAAACATGCCGACGTGGCCACGAGCACCAGGGAGCTGCCCCCAAGTGACACACAGCAGAGTGAGCCCCGCCAGAGCTGCCTGTCTGCACAGCGGGCAGCACTGTCCCAGGACACGGCCCCACGCTGCTGGGTCTGCAATGGAGGGATGCCAGGAAGGTGCTCCCAGGGACACCTGTCCATAACGTGAGCGGGATCCGGACAGGACCCGCTTGCAGGAGCACAAGCAGGGCTGGCACAGCGCTCCCAGTGCCCTTCCTCCCCTGGAGACAGCTCCGGCTGGGCCGGGATGGAGCGAGGGCAGTCAGATGTGGCCAGCCTCCCCCTTCCTTTGCACAACCGTGGGGTTACGTGCGGTTAACAGTCAGCCTTCCCGGAAAAGGGAGAAGGAAAACATGAGGTCAGAGCTGCTGGCGGGGCCGTGCCACCCACATGCTGCTCGGGACACCGCTCCAACTGTGGGAACGGCTGTTTGGGCCGGCTCCTCCAGGTCCAAACACAGCCTGGAGCAGGACCGCTCCCACAGCCAGCCCTGCTATACGGGGATGAGACCCCTCAGCCTGGACTAGCCT